GAATGCGAATATCCTAATAATATTATTGAAAAAGCATTTCACAACGCGAAACTCCAAGGACCAGCTCCGCAAAATCAATCAAAAGAAATTTTTCCTTTAGTTACAACTTTTTACAGCAATTTGAACTGCCAACCTTTATTACTGAAACAATTCTTTTGCTTAATCTATCTTCAAATGAAAGAATGAAAGAAGTTTTTTCTAATGTCCAACCCGTAATTGCGTTTAAACAACCAACCAATCTACTGAGAACACTTACTTCTTCAAAAATTCAATCAACCACTAAAGAAGTAGGATTATTTAAATGTAATGATAATCGTTGTAAAATATGTAAATTCTACCTTTAAGAAGTTAAATCATTTACTACATCAAATGGTACTATATGGAACATAAAAAGCTATATTACTTGTAATAGTAAGAATGTAATACAAATAACCTACGACTTCGCACTAATGGGCATATTTCTAGTTGTAGAACTGGGCAACTAATAGATAGGTTTGATAACCATGTATACAATTGTCAACGTGCGCATAAAATCATTATAGAACCTTTTTTGTAGCTTTTTGTGTTTGTGGAGCTAAAAAATGAAAAAAACCTAATTTCTTATGAGAAGCATTTTCACAACCAAAAACATGATACTTTTAATTGACATTACAATTTAGATTACAATAGTTGCTAACAGCAAAAATTAAATTATTATCATTTCCTGTTTTTTAAAAAAAACTATATTTTGTTGTTATGATAACAAAAACAGCACTACTGATAACTTTTTGAAAAGCCTCTAATGCTAAAATATTAAAATTTATAATTAGTGTAACTTTTGTGAAATTAAAAGAAGAAAATATTTCGTTTATTGTTTATTTTGTTGACTAACTTTTTTTACTTATTGGTTGTAAACATATTTCAAGTTATATATATATATATATATATATATATATATATATATATATATATATATATATATATATATATATATATATTTTGTTTTTTTTTTTTTTTATGTTGATTTTAGGTGCCCCAAGAAGTCCTTACGGTCTTATCACAGAGCACCGCGGAAGAGCATTTAATAGGAAGTTCACGCCTCCTTCCCAACCGATGTCGCAAAACTTGCCCAGAGGCGGGGTTTGAGCCACGGATCTTATGTTTCTGAGGCAAGTGTGCTACCACTGCGCCACGGCTGCTTATATATATATATATATATATATATATATATATATATATATATATATATATATATATATATATATATATATATATATATATATATTTTTTTTTTTTTTTTTTTGTTCTTATTACAATATATTCAAAGAAAAATTAATTAATTTACAATTAGATCGTTAAGAAAAATTTACAATTAGATTGTTAAAAACGTTACTCATTAAGAAATAAATAAAAGATAAAACTAAGACTTTTTTGTTAATATAAAAAGAACGCGGATGTATATATATATATATACATATATATATATACATATATATATATATATATATATATATATATATATATATATATATATATATATATATATATATATATATATATATATTATTATTATTATTACAACATTTTGTATAATGACCATTAATTGTTGACAAGAGTCACAAGTTGTGACTCTTGTCAACTAACCGGACGTGTCTATTATCTCCGCAATATGAAGATGGACAGCCAAAGCAAATTATTCGGCAGATGACTTCTTTTTTCGTGATGAACAATATTACTTCAGATCTTCGCGTAGCGTACTTGCTTGCTGCTCTGCCATCGAAGATTTACAAGGTGCTGTTAGTTCCATGGAGGAATTAACAGCACCTGAACTACCAGAGGACGTTTTGTACTAAGAATTGGTGACAAAACTGGAAACGTTGAAAATTAGAAAGTCACTGTTAATCTCACGGTATGAATTTGGGAAAACTTATCGTGGCAATGAAGAATTGGTACAGACGTTTGTGCATTGAGTGATCCGAGCAGCTCAAGAATGCAAGTTCATGCCTTCAGAGATAGACGACCGACTTCGTGATTAATTCATTATTGGGACTAATGATTGTGCTTTTCTGCGTGCCATTCTTCGGGGAAGAAATGCGTTGAGCTTTGACGATTGTGTCAAGACGGCATCCGTGATTGTACAAACTAGATTAGATGCGGTATGTTTATCTGTAAATAAAGAAGTAAATGCAAGTTACCGAACAACTGTAATATCAAGTGATATACAGATAAAAAAACGAAATGCGATATTTCAATTGCAAATCATTGAATCACTTTGCACGTAAGTGTACCTCTTTATGCAAGAAATGCTTGCATAAATATGCTACGAAGGAGTGCTATAAACGTCGACAAAACCAGGAAAACTTAAATAGGACAAGTTTGCATTAGGTATATCTCCAAGAACTCGTCATAAAACAATATTACGATATGTTTTCCAACAAAATTCTGCACTTGAAAAATCAACAAGAGGATACATTGATGACACCTTAGCAACCAATGAAAATGGAAAAAAACTGTTGGCACATATAAAGAAATGGTGAAATTTCCGCAAAAACACCTGAATATTTTGGCAAAAACCCAGTTTGTTTGCTTGGATTGGAAGTAACAGTAAATTCATCTAAAAAGGAAATGTTTTGAAAGAGAGGACGCGCATTATTAAAAATGTGCTCACCAAGAGGGAGGTTATGTGGTATTCTGGTGAGGTTATGTGGTATTCTGGTTGAGGGAGGTTATGTGGTATTCTTGTTCTCATTATGTGGTAATCTGGTTGCTAATCTACCAGTTGCTGGATGGTTGAGACTTGCATGTAGCTTGATTTTGACCAAAGTCTGATGCAATGCATATCAACGTGGATGAATTGGATGCATGTATTGAAGGTCTCAATATGGCATTGAAATGGAACCCAAGTGATGACTCTATCAAAACTAATTCTCATAGTGTATTCAGTTGGTTAAACTCTGAATTGACTCGTGACAAAACAGTAAAATGTGCTGGGCAATGTGAAATGCTAATTCAATGAAGGTTTCAAATATTTGGAAAATTGTTTGAGGATTATGCCATAAATGTAAATGTTACATTGGTACCAACAACAAAAAATATTGCAGATGAACAAAATGTTTAAAAAACAAAGTTGCGACGCAAGAATGTGATATCATCTATAAGCACGATAATCAGCAGATTAAAAAATTTTACTCAATAACACACATGGGAGTTTCCATGAGTGAGAAAAAAATAAATTATGTTCCGATTAGCTTCAAACACAGTTAGATATCTTAGTATTAAAAAAAAAAGCTTTTAAAAAAAATATTTATAATAGATTAAGAAACCTTAATCTTTATACATTTTCCTACGAAATTTTATTTTTTTAGTTTAGACCATCTAAAATGAATAGACCAAATAAAATAATCAAATCAGTATCGGAATCCCTTAACATTTTTATCTGCTTTTTTAATAATTCATATTCTTATGTATAAAAAAATTATGTTTCTTTGCAGACAAATAATATTTAATTTTTTTTCCAAATGATTTTGTGAAATTTAGCCTTTCTTCCTGATGATGCAGCTGAAGGAAAAATTGATAGTTAAAGCTCAAGCTCATATATATATATATATATATATATATATATATATATATATATATATATATATATATATATATATATATATATATATATATATATATATATATATATATATATATAATTTAGTTATTTAAATATATTATTTAGTTAATTATTTGAAAAACAACAGTAAGACCCGATAGCCACTAATACTGCTGTCTACAATAAAATAGTTTTTTGAAAGATTCTTTATGTAAAATTGTATCGCTTGTTAGAATTTAATCATGAAGTATAAAGTAACATTGCAAGACGGTTTTAAAACATCAAAATAGATGATGCAGTAAAGCATTTTCTCGTAAATTATTCTATATATATATATATATATATATATATATATATATATATATATATATATATATATATATATATATATATATATATATATATATATATATATATATATATATATATATATATATATATATATATATATATATATATATATAACAAATTACTTTATACAACACCATATTTATGTAAATTAGGTTGTGCAATATTTTGCGTATGACAATGGCACAACGGTCGTACGAGTCACGTGATTGTTGTACGACTTCACAAGCGTTTATTTATAGTACAAGAAATCGAAGTCCTGAATCCGTTAATTAAACTAAGCTGTTATATTATTCGTTTTTGTTAAAAACAACAACATTGAAAACAATGTTTTAATAATGGATTATCAGAAGAAAAAAATTCTTAAATACTAATTTCATATTTAAAATATTCAAGCGTTGTTTTTTGTTTTTGAAATGTAAAATATTTGTAAAATGTGTTTTTAACATACATAAATAGCGGGAAACGAAAGCAAATATATATACAACATATAAATAGTCGTAATAGAGTAAATACAAGGTGATCATACAAGTAACAAAACAAAACAAAAACAACTTTTTTATATTACATATATTTTAAGAACAGCTGCTTACTAAATAAACCAAGTGCGTCTAGTTTTGAAGGATTTTTTTTTAATTTAGAAAGCAGTCGAAGTCAGTTCCCCCCCCCCCCACCATTATATTCCTAGAATCTATAATATATATAATATATATATATATATATATATAATATATATATATATATATATATATATATATATATATATATATATATATATATATATATATATATATATATATATATATATATATATATATATATATATATATATATATATATATATATATATATATATATATATATATATATACAAACTGTCACCTTTTTGTAAAGTATAAATTTTTATATAACATTTATTAGACGGGATGATATTTTGAATTTTACCGTAATTTTTATTTCAATGTAGTATGTTTTCGTGACAAAATTACACAACATTAAAAAAAAAAAAGCAATATTAGCATTAATTAAAAAAAACACACAACAATAAATAAAAGATATGATGTAAGTTGTAGTTATACTATAAACAATTTTTTAGATTTGAGAGAGCTATACAAATATAGAGAACTAAATAAAAAGGAAAAACCTAAAAAGACGCGTTTTTTTGAGTTAAGTGGTGCATAATTTGGTAGTTATTAAATCAAGTAGACTAGGGATTTTTTTAAATATTGAATTAATACAGAGTAGTAAATGAAAATGCAATATCTTAAACTTACAATTATATATTAACACATGGATAGTATATACTTGCAAAAAGTTAAAAAATAAAAGGTAAGTATTATTAATTAGGTTGTATTTTTCAATAATAACTGTAATATTTTTATATCAATTTATATTTTTATGGAAGCTGTGCGGCTATAATTTTTGGAAAAATAATAAGCTTTTAAAACTATTTTAGATTTAACTTTTTGTAAAAAATTTTTTGCACTTGTTTATATTAAAAATTATTTCTGGAATTTTGTAATTATTTTTACTTTTTTTTTTTTTTCGACTAAGGTGTTGAATTACTTAATTGCACATTTTTTTTAGTGAATTGTTTTACACATTTTCAATTGCCTTTAATAATTTAATATGATATGGCTACCAAGCTGCTGAGCAATATTCTAATACTGGTCTTATATAAAATATTGATGTCTTTCATTAGTGAGATATGCAGAAATCCAATTTACTAAATTACCTTTTATGTTAAACAAAACAAGTTTGGCTAATAATTTATGATGAGATTTGATATGCCGCACGAAAGTCAATGTTTATAACTTTTGTTTTAAGATGTTTGAGAAGCGCAATACTGTAATTATCATAAAGTTCTAAAAAACTTGCATTATGGTTTGATTTCTTAGTAATCTCTTTTTTTTAAAATAAGAGAAGAGGCTTGAAGCCATTGTTGAGGTAAAGTACTTAGTTTGTGGCTGCATCAAAAAAATAAAAAAAATAAAATATAGGTTTATTTTTTTCAGAAAAAATTTGGAATTCATTCTGGATTATATATAATTTTGAAAGTGTGGTTGTATGCTAATATAATATACCTTTTTTTTAAATAGACAAATGTAAAGCAACAAACTATCATCTTATTTTATTAATGTCTGTAGTATGCAAAGTAATGGAGAATTTAATAAGAGATGCTTTTATGGAACATCTCATTGAGAATAAATTAATATCAGATTCTTAGCATTGTTTTATTCCTAATAAATACTGTTATACAAATTTATTAGAGTTTTTAGATGCAATTACACAGTCTTTTGAAAACATTTTTTCTATAGATATAGCTTTTTGAAAATTTGTCAAAGCTTTTGATACAGTAGCACACAAGAGAGAGCTAATAAAGTTAAAATATGTTGTGAATATAAAGTTTCAAGCATATTGTGCTTGGTGGTTTAAAAAATATTTGAGTAATAGAACTAAATAGTGGGAGTCAGAATCAAAGGATCAAGAAATCAGAATTAAAGGAGGTGCCTGCTGCTGTTTATATATATATATATATATATATATATATATATCAGGCTTTCACAGGAAGATGTGCGATTTCATGTCTTTATATGATTTCATGTCTTTATATTGCTGTCCTAGGCGATGAAAATCATTCTATTATGCTAAAAGCATCTTAGGAACAAGATTTAGGTGTCTTAATATCTAATGATATTAAATAGTAAAATCATGTAAATATGATTGCAGGAAAAGAAAACAGAGCATTTGGTCAAATAAAGCATTTCTTGACTGCTGTATTGTTTGTTGGTTGTTTTTTTTTTAAACATCTTCGCTTCCAACAAGGCTGCAAGTAACCACTAGTTAGTGTTGGAAGTTACTGGAAGAGAAAAGATGAAGATTGTAGAGCAAGATAACGATTGACAGACGTCTTAAAAGGTTGCAAATTATATGAATTAGGAAAGCAAGATGAAGGAAGCGAATTCCAAAGAACTGATGTTCGAGGAAAAAAACTATACGAGTAAGAGTTTTTGGAGCACTTAGGAACAGTAACAAAAAAAGGATGAGACTTAATTGAATGACGAGTAACACGAGAGTGAATTTTAGTAGATGGCACAAGAGACGCTAGCTCTTTAGAGCAGTGTCTATTATAGTATTTGAAAAAAGAGAAAGAGACGCAACATTATGGCGATGTGATAATGGTTGAAGGTTGGCTGCAAGAGCAGGTCCAACTATTATACAACAATATGGATTTAATATATGGTTTCCAAGAAAGATCAGAAGTAAGAGTTAATCCTAGAAGATAAAGGGTAGATGACTCATCAAGTACATTACTGTTCATAAATATAGGAAGATCTAAATTATTGCAATAACAGTTGGCTGAAAAAATCGAGTTTTATCTGAATTAAAGTTAGTTCCCATTTAGAATTTGATTCATTAATTTGGAATAAAACAAATACAAAGAAAAGCAACAGAAATTAAATTTTTAAATGATATGTGTTATGAAGAGCGAATAAAAGAATTTGGATTTATGCCATTAGAAAAATGAAGAGACCTCTTCATTCCCCCCCCCCTACCCCCATCCCTTTATTTTTCTAATGAAGAGATGGGGGGAGGGGGGAGGATTTAATATAATATTATAAAACAAAAAAGAATTAATATATCAAATAAAGCTTTTAAAATTTTTTAAAAGCTTCAGTTGATATATTCTCCTCTGAAATATTTTGTTAAATCAAACTCTGGTTTTAACTGTAAAGCTGTAAAACTTTTTTATTTGCCTATGAACAGTAACAGTTTTTTTCTTTATATACATTCATTTTATATGATGAATGTATATAAAGATGGCTTACATATATAAGATGTTATATATTGTTTTTTTTCTATTAGTTGTGTTTTATTAATGATGCAACAATAACAAAGTTTAATAAACATGATGTCTAATATCTTTTCATACTTGAACATACCAGCAACTCCATCATGTTTTGCCTATATTTTATTTGTTTTGATTCAATTTGTTCCAACTTATTTTCAACATATAGCTTTATTTGTTTTGCATGTACTTTTTATGTTTACTAAACCTAATACATGTATTTCTAATTGTTTTATTAACAACAGTGCGAAGTGTAACATTGAGATATCTTTTTGTAGAGTTATCAGTCTACTCATTTACTGTTAGTAAAATTTAAAAATTTTTACTTAAAATCCTTGATGATAAAATTTTAGTATACATTTAGTTACAGTAATAGGATACAAAATGTATTTTGTTACAGTAGTTCTTTACAATAATAGAATACAGAATGTGTTTTATGTTAGTATATTAGACATGTCAAAACCTTTATTTGAATGTATCCATTATTTGCTTCTGATTTCACTGTAGAATTCATGGAAAAACTTCCTTCTATTTTACATTGATAAATTGAGTAGCCATTTAGATAAACAATGGTATTGGTTACTTTATAAACAATGGTATTGTTTAGCTTATCAAACAATGATATTGGTTAGCTTATTATTAAATAAAGCATAGGCAAATCAGGATTGTCTTCTTCTGCATATTTATTAAATTTGTAAAGTTTTATTTTTTAAGACTTCTATCATTAAAGATATGAACAGTTACTTCTAAATTACTTATTTAGTTACTTATTCCTTATTGGAAATATTAAAAAAGTACAATTTTGCAGAAAATTCTTGAGTTACTTGTTTTTGTTTAAATTATATCTCTGATATACTAAAAAGACTGATTCTCAGGCTATTTAGTCTGTTTTTTTGCAAATAAATATTTCTTATTTTCTTGTTGAACTAAGCTAAGATTATTTGTTTATATTATTCAACTTCCTGACTTTCACTTATTTAACTTCCTGTTAGTTTTCTTGCGCAGGTTGTTTATTAAAAACCTCAACAAGAATTATTTTCGCTTTATCTGTAAAGATAAAGCGTGTGGTTTTGTTTTTATCTAATATAAGTATTGTAAGCCTGGTTACTTTGAAAGTTGTTGAGATATTTTTTTATGTGCTATTCCTTCATTATTAAAAATAATTGAAATTTAATAAAATACTATGGTTGACTTTTACATAGTTTAAATTCAAAATTATATTTAAACAAAAGATTTCTGTATAATATTTAATTAGTCATTCAAAGTTAACCCACAAATAGAGTTGTTTTATTTTTTTTTGTAATATTTTTGTAATACTTGTAATATTTAGCGTTAAAACAAAAAGATTCAAAAACATTTTGTTTTATAATTCAATAAAAACAACTGGATTCACATCAATTTAATATCACTGAAATAATATATTTTATAATGAAAGCCCAATTATTTTTTTTTTGTCTTTATGGGTATATTTTAACAACATAAAAAGAGTGGTTGTTCCTTTGTCCTTTATATACTTATTGTACTGACAACTCTAATAAAACAATAACAGTTTCACTTACTAAAGACAATTCAAGTGGAACATCTTTAAATGTTGCCTAAAAATCTTCTAAAAAAATACTTATTCCTTTTTTCAAACCAGCTACTTGGTTGCTGCTTATATTTTGATCTTATGAGTATATATAAGTATATAAAGTTTTTAATAAAGAAGAAAATTATCTTTTGTAATTGTCTGTGCTTTTTTTTGAACACAAGATTTTCCATTATTCAATTATTTTCAGCCAATATCTTTGAAGAGGTCTTGTAATTACGCAAAAAAAACATTATTTTCTTTAGCTAATTTAAGAACTTCATCAACAAAATCCCTGTTTAGATTATCACCAATAGGAATTTTAATTCCACAAAGATCTTTTTATAATTTTATGACCTTTACAATACAGTTTACAAGACAAAAACAATCTTAAACCTGTCAGAAAAACAAACTGGCTTATATCATACATTAGGTGGTTTACCTTTGATCTATGTTGTCTATAGATAGTCAGCTTTTTATACAACATAAACAGGGACCATTTGACTAGAAGTTGAACTACAAAAGTTGATTGGTATAACATAATATGTTGTACAGTAGCTATTGCATATTTCCAAAAACTGTGGGTTTTTCAGGTGTTTTTATTAAAGGTTTTTAACTTAATTATACAAAGTCCAACTTGCAGCCCATGAATGTTTGATGTTTTTTTGTATTATAAATCACTACTGACCAACCCTCGGAATTAGCGTCAGCATTCGGCAATGCCAACCTTACTGCTGACCTTAAAGTGTTTAAGGTCAGCAAAAAATTGCTGACCTCGTTTCTATGTTTTATGGTAAGACCTTTGTATCAATTTTTTTTTGCCAACCTTTAAAGGATTGAGGTTGGCAAATTTTTGCCGACCCATTTTTTCCTAATTCTAAGGGTTGCTACTGATAGCTACTGTATCACTTG